TAATAGATAGTTAATATGTTTATATCAGTTTTAGAGTATATTTTATATACAGAAGTAATTCCATTATTTTACAAATATAATATAGTTTGTCATTGAGTATTTATTTTAGAAGGTAACATTGTAAGAATAAGTTTGTAACTAAAATAAAATGATCAAATAATTTTAAATACCTATATATATTGTTGAAATATATTGATTATATATTTAAAATTTCACATGAATTGCTTTTGGTTTGAAAAAGTTATGTACATTTATATTATATAAATAATATTCCAAATTTTTTTGCACCATACTATATATATATATATATAATATAAAATAATTATAATTATATTAAAAGAATTAAAAAAATATATAAAAATATAGAATTTTATAAATTATTTACATTTGTTTTTTTTTTAAAGTTGGAGAAAAATATAACTTTTTTATAATGTTTTGATCAATTATTTTTTTTAAGGGCTAAAGTGTGATACACATGAGAATTTATTGTAGATCAACAGATTATAAATAACCATTACATGAACAATTTATTTTAACTGATGCACTGCATGTTTTGGTCAATTATAGATTGTTTCTAATCTAATTATTTATATGTAATTTATTTATTTACTGTATATAAAGAATTTTCTAAAGAATTATTTGTTATATCTTGAATAATTATCAAAGAAAATTCTTATTTGTAAGTGAAAAAGCAAAATTATTTAAAATAAAATAAAAACAATTGTTTTTGGACTTTTAATAGAAGTTATTTCTTTAATATTTTTATAAATAATTACTTAAAATTTTAAAAAACTTGAAAACAAAAGTCTGAAGCTACAGCACTCTAAATTTGTTATGTTGTTCAAAATTATATAGATGTTTTAAGAATTTTTAAAGAAAAAAAAATTATATAAAAAATATAATTAAAAGTGATAAAATTTAATAAATAATGATAATATATGATAGTATTTATCTTAAGTTAACAAAATTTTCTAAAAATTTTAATAACAGTATTTTAAATATATACAATATATATATATTAATAAAATATATTAAATAATAAAAAATTCTAAATTTTTATCAACAATATATATGATAACCCTTAATTATGGGGTAATAAATTTGTACCCTAAAAATTTTTGGCTTACTTTTAAAAATAATTATCCATATAAATAAGAAAAAATAAATAACAGATAAAATATTCATGGATAAGAATTATATACAGTATATATTTATATTATCATAAAAAAAATTTAATTGATAATATAATTATGAATTAAATATGATTTTCAATTATTTATTAATAATTCAATTCTATATACTGTATATAGTAAGAATTATAAATATTTATGGAATTATATCAACAGATATATGAAAATTTTCTTATTATAATGTTATATACATATATATATTGAATTTTTTATCTCAGATAATATATACAGTAGCTATATTAATTATTAGATTTATTTTTTAGGTTTATATTGGCATTTCATTATGTTTACTTCTGATAGGATTTTCTATTCAAGTAATAGTGAATATCAGATAAATCTTATGAAAAAGACACTTAGAGAAATCAGGAAGAATATAAAACAGATAATCAGTATAGTTTGTAGAATTATTGAAAGATGGAAGAAAAAACATAAAAAATCGGGAATTATTTTTGTACTGTATTTTTATTGAGTTAAGTACCTGTATATTTTTTCTCTTTTATTGTTATCAATGTTATATGTTTCTTGGCAAAAATGATCGGGGTTATAATTTGATTTTTATTCCAAAAATTTGGATTATTTTACATTATCAAAATTCGGAATTTATAATGGCGTGTACAACATAAAAGACCTTTATTATTGGAAAACTAAATACATACAGCATTCGTCTTTATTTTATAAACAGAATTTTTCTTTCAGAAGTGATCGATGTGAATCAAGTTTAAAATATTCAATAAATCAGCGAAGAATTGTGCCGATTCTTTATGCTTGATATTATAGATCAAAATGTAAGTTATTCCTGAGTATCTTTGAAAATCAACATTTTACAAATTCAATCCAGCATTATTATAATTAAAATTTAACAATTTATTTATTTTGCGAAGTTGCAATGCACTAATAATTATTCAGTTGTCATTTGTCTTCCTTTTAGCTGTATTCTTTCCTGGTGATTTCATTAGAATTGAACTGTCCACAGCAGGCTCATTAATAGTTTTGCGATATCCGAAGCTCACAGGTTTGTGTTTCAGAAGTGAATCAATGTAATTCTTGAGGTTTATAATACGGTACTACAAAAAGTAAATATTAAGAGTGGTGTTTTTATATATGCTTTAATAAGAAGGCAAAATACCTTGAATTCCAACATAACGCGAACAATGCTTGAAAGATCACTTAATCGATCTGCAGTATCGGGGATAGTAAACCCGTTAATCTGGTCAACTAAATAAAGCCCATGTACCCAATGAGTTGAATATATTATAAAGTCTCTCTCTAAAATTAAAACGATCTAATAAGAAACAAGGACATAATTACGAATAAGAACATTATAGTGCAAATTGAAAAATACGTACTATACACAAGCATGCCAAATGTTTCCAAATTTTCAAGGTCTTCGTTTGATATTCCTTTTTCCGACAATAAACTTCGCAACTTATTAAGAGATATCTGCATCGCTAATTAAAACAAAAGATTAAATATAACTTAACCGGTAAATAAAAAAATACACTCCTTGATATACCTTTAAGCATCTTTTCTCTATCGCCATCCCTTTTATCATCATCGTGTCTGCATGGGTTACCAATTACTTCGCCAAAACCAACCTGAACTTCTTTATTCATACATTCTATCATTAATATTGCGTCATGTGACCATCTTATTGCTCTTTTTTGTTTTGGAGGTCGTGAACGATCCTTTTGATTTCTTCGATCAATATTTTCTATTTCGCCACTATATACTCAAATAATAAATACATTAATGTATCATAAGACATTTTTTTAAATATGCAATAAAGTACTTACGTTCGCATGCAAATTGTAGGAAAGACGTCTAAAAAAACATCTTCCCATAATTTATTAATTATGCGGTCACGGTAAGCATATTCAGACAATCTTGAATCGTGAAAAAAGTCGTTTGGCATCTGAAAACAAGTAATACTTACATAAATTTGTGAAGGTTAGCATGGTGACAACACACTAATGACAAGCAAAAACAAATGTTTATAAACAAAATAATATCCTTACAATGAAGTATACACAATCTGGACCCAATGAATAAGCCAGTCTCTTCGAAAATCATACCCTGTTCTTTCTTTATCAAATGGATTCTCGTTTATTACTAATGCTATTTTACTAACGTTTGATTTAAAATTGTTCGTATTTTCTTTGATGGCTTTGTTGTACTTAGTTAAAAGATCTTGTATGTTTTTTGGTATTGCTACTGAAAAGGAGTCAACTATTTTTTCTTCAATCTAAAAAAAAATTATTGTTAATGTTTTCACTTTCTTAATTGTATTTTTATTAAGAAATACAAACCATTTTCCAGTCAAGTTCGGATTCTATCCATTCTTGACTTGTTAAAAGAGTCTTTAAAGGATCCTTCTTATTATCTTCGGGTAAAAAAATTACTCGGTACCTCGCAATGCCTTCGCCGTATTCCAGAAGTTTTTCAATGATTGGACTTGTATCTTCCTGCTACACCAGATGATAAATTGGTAAAGGCACGGAACTATTTGAAAAATTTCGAAATACAAGAATGATAAAACAAACAAACATCTGTAGTATTGAAATCTTCCAAGAACTCTTCATCAGAATTGACATCTGAGGAATTTTCATTTCCATCTTCACAAATATATGATATTCCAGAATTTGATCCATCCTATAAAAATGTTAGATCAAAAACAGAAAAAATATTTTTAATCTGAACCATAATATATTGTTTCTATGACTACAATTATCTTTTCCTCCAGATGATCTAAATCTAACTCGTCAGCTAATGAATTTCTTTCAGCATAATTAATTACCTTCCGACTTCTAAGATTATACTTGATTGGAGGTACAGACTCTTTGTCATTATTATTGTTATTATTATTATTATCATTATTGTCATCATTATCTGAGGCCTAAATGATAAGGATAAATAAATAAATTTATCGTGCATAATGAGATCAACGAAAATGCCGAACCTTGTTTTCTGGTGGTTGTGATCGATTTTTTTTGGAATCTCTTTCCTTAATATCATCATTCTAACAAGTATCAAAATAAAAATAGTTAGCTTTCTAAATATATTAACTACCTAGTTAAAAACATATATTAGTACCTCTTCATAATCTATATTCCTTTTTGGCACTTTATTGGACAAATTAAGATCTCCACCGATACTTCCAGTTAGCACTAAATTTCCTATGAATGTTGAATTATTAATATAAACCGGAGACCCATCACTCTCACTGGTTGAGCTGTGTTCACTTTTCCATTTCCTGGCAGAATGATAGTCAGGTCGAGGATCCTAACAAACTTGAGTGTTAATAACATGCTAGTTAAGAATATTCTTGATTTCTTCAATCCCACCAGATCAATAAAAGCCTTGAACATCAGGTAAATGAGAAGCTCCCTATGATGCCCCAGTGGGACCATTGCTGGGTCAGCAAGAAGCCTTGAACATCAGGCAAACGAGAAGCTCACCCATGCCCCAACACTGGTTTTATGGCTCAGCAAAAAGCCTTGAATGATCAAAAACCAAATTGGTCCTTGTCACGCCACTATTCTCCTTTTCTACATTTACGACCTTTTTACCAAGCGCGAAATCCCCACGTGCGGACACTATCATTCTAGTCTTTTCATTTCGAGTAATTTGAGCTATGACAGACGCATCCCGTTGTTTGTTCTGAGAATATTCAAATGGACTAGAACGTGATATAATTTATCTGCAATATGGCTTCGCAATCGAAGTACAAGGCATACAACACGAAAAACATCACTAATTCTTTCATGGAAGAGATCTCAATAATTTTTTCAAACGGCAAGCACGGGATCAACTCAAGAAAGAATTATGCGAAGAAAACTGGATCATTTTAAGGTATGTTTGGTACTACGAAGACTCATATATAGTTATTCTATTATGAACTGCAAAGAAAAATATAGCAATGAAATTATTGTATTCGTAATTTATGTAAGATCAATATTTTCGAATCAGTCCAAGATGCCTACATATTACAATCATTTTTAACATCAATAAAGATCAATCCAACTGGAGAAGAGCGTTTGCATATGAAAGTCGCGAAGGTCTTTGTTCAGCTCTTGCATCATCAAAGGATGCTGTAACATCGCGAACCAATAACTAAATTTATAAATACGTAAGATTAGTGAAAGTTTAATATAACGTGAATCCACATTAATACATACCGACCACTTTAATATACTTTCATAGAAATAAACGAAATTTTTCATTTCAGAAAATTTTCGAGGAAGATTGGCATTATCAATCTCGTTTAATCTATATGTTCCTAAATTAATATTTAATGAAAAATTATTAAAACATTTTATAGTGTAATTTTTCAATAAAACGAAAACACATACCACGATGGTCAAGAAAATATAAATATATCCCAAGACGAAAACTTTGGCCACCGAATACATACAACTTCTTTGGTAAACGTTGCCTGCTTTTGATAGTTTCCTTTACAATATTTGCGAATATGTTCTTTAAATTATCTGTTATTTTTTTAATGTCATCGGTTTCCTTTTTATCTTTTGTTACTGGTCTCGAGCCTTCAACGTAAATGAGCTGGTACTTATCAGCATCCGTCATGTAACCAACGCCATCAGCTCGATTACTATTAATGTGATTTTTCGACGTTATCTCGCCAAATTCATAGTGTATACCAGCAATGTACCATAAAGAAGCGTCAAGACATGGGTGAACAAAAGCATTAAGATGCGCACGTTCTATTGTGGCAATATTTAAAAGTGGGTTCAGTTCTTCGAGTGAAAATGCCTTAATACTATAAAAAAAAATAATTTTTTTTTAGAATAGAATTAAAAAAATAAATTAATATAATAATAATGGTTACTTACAATTGTGGCAGTGTGCGACGTAAAACTCGTACTACTGCATTCATTATAAAATCATCTTTTTCTGGTGCTTTTAAATCATCGATTTGGAAATTCCATTCCTCAGTTGTTAAATTTTGTGAAAAAAAATTTACAAGAAATTCGTGAACATTTGCGGGAACCAACGTCTCTGTCATGGTATCCATTTCCATTAAATACGATGTTGCTGTTTGTCTTGAAAGTTCTTTTAAAAAGGGTGATCTTAGTCGGAGGTCAATTAAATCACCATTAGGATATTGTGCTTTATAAATCATAAAAATCTGTTTTGGTACGTCCGAGAGTTCAATATTTCCTAAGATGTCTGTTATCTGATAAAAAAAAAAAAAAATCAGTGTTTTAAACATTTGTTGGTTTAAAATACATTATTAGATAACTATTTACAATGTTATATTGAATAGTTCTCTTCTCATCATTTCCTTGGGGGCGATTTTCAAAAGAATCCTCAGCCATTGCTTCCTCTTCATTTTCTTGAGAAGGGTTTTTATCTGTATATGTAGTTTTTTCGGAGGAAGTTCCAACATCTGTACCTGTATGTAATCCACGATAATTTGGTACAACTACTCTCCCACTTCTCGTTCTTTTTTCAGATTGAGTTTTGCACTTGTTTATAAAGTAGAAAGGAAAAACATTAATTTGTTATTCATGTCATAATAATTTTTAAGCGTTGGCTATTTAGAAATTAATATTTTAATAGAGTAACTTAATCACACCTTTTTGGCCGGAATTGTAGCTTCTTCAGTATCCATCTTTTTTTCATCATCATCCACATTTCGACGATGTTTCCCCTGACGATTGTCGTTGTATGTTGCTCCATCTCCGGTTGAAAGTTGGTTTATCTGTTTTACATTCATAAAATCGACTTTGATTCGTGCACAATCCTTTTTGTAGTTCTTTAGCGGTACAACCCAGTTCTTGACAAAATAAATAATAGTAGTGAAATGTTCAACAATAACATATAGAGTAAAAGATATAGAGTAAAAGAAGCATTAGGCCAAGGGCCCTGTCCTTGTAAGACCTGAAGTCCCAGCTTGCACTAAGCGTCGAACCTGAAGTTCATCACTATAGACCTAAAGTCCCAGCTTGCGCTAAGTGTCGAACCTAAA